TCAGATTTATGTCCTGACTTCTGCCACATCCTATCATCATGCTGTTTCGCTCCTCCTGGGCAATGGTTTCTGGGGACCTTCATCAAAAAAGTTGCCTAGGAGAATGCGTGCCCATACATTGGTGTAAGTTCACTACTCTGGAAATCTGGCTCTTAACCAGTGGAGAAAAGTAAGCTGGAACTCAGGACTAATAGTCTGAGTAATATGGGGGCTATTAAAGGGATGGAACACAGGCCTCTTCTGTCCTGGAAGCAACAGTGCAATGTCTAGGCAGCAGAAAGGCCCAGGGACATAAAAAGAGGGAAAGATACCTAATGGAGATGGGACCCAGAAAGAATGCCAGGCATGCCCCACTGTGACTTAAGGGACTAAGATGTGGATTCAATTCTAACTTGATATTGACTCTATCTGGCTCTTACACCCTCCAGCCTGGCCTTATTTCTCCCCAGGGTATAATTGTGTTCTTGGGCATAGAGGTGGTCAGATCCTAAGGTCCAGGCAATCTGAGCAGCCGCACCTAGGGCCTCAGAGAATGAGCCAGGTAGCTCTGTCTTTGTGAAGACTTCACCAAGGTTAGGGTCAAGGAAATAAGTAACAAAGAAGGTATCTGCAGATCACTGAGACCCCAGGGACTCATTAATTGGTCTTCAATGTAGTCTCTGAAAAGATATGTTTATATTTTACAATGCAAAGAAATTAATGTTTTATTATTTGGGAAGGTTGAGACAGGGTCTTACTCTGTAGCCCAGGATGGCCTTGAACTTTTGGCAGTTCTCCTGCCTTAGCCTCCTGAGTGCTGGGATTATAGATATGAGCTTTCATGTCCTGTAAAAATAAACATTTTAAAAAATACAATCAAGGGGCTGGAGAGATGGCTCAGTGGTTAAGAACACTGGTTGTTCTTGCAGAAGACCTGGGTTCAAATCCCAGCACCCACATGGCAGCTAATAACTGTCCGTAACTCCAGTTCCAGGGGATCCAGTGGCCTCTTCTGTCCTCCGTGGGCATTGCATGACATGGGTGCACATTCCTACATGCAAGCAATGCACTCATACACATAAAAATAAAAATAATAAATAAAATATTTAAACAAAAATACAATCAGCTAAGGATATAGCTTGGTGGTAGAGCACATGCCCAGCACGTGCAAGGTTCTGGGTTTCATTCTGAGCATTGGGGAAAAAAAGATAACCACTTTTGTGATTACTCAGAAAAAATATGGATGTGTATGTTCCCAGCAAGGCACTCACTCACTTTCTTCCCTCCCTTTCTCCCACCCTCCCGCATTCTCTCCTGTACTCTTCCCTGCATTCCCACCATCAGAAAAGGCTAGTGAGATATGTGGAATGTGGGATCTGGCAGGTTTTCATTTCTAGGATGGCCACCACCCTGTGCAGCACAAGTCTCTAAAAGAACAGACGAGGAGCACCCGTCATCCCAAATACTGTTGCACATTAGGGAAACAATATAAATACAACAGAAAAGTGGATGTGTCTGGGCCACAGTTCCTCCCCTCCCCAGGCAGAATTGTGGGGAAACCCTAGGAATGGGAAAAGAGAATTAGGGGCAGGGGAGAATGTGTTAAGCAGGTTTAAAACACAAGAGGGGGTCTGTAATGCTCTGAGAGGGTGACTTTGTGGATGGGAAGAGGAGGAGCTCAAGGGTGGTAATTAGCTTATTATTGGTTCCCCTGGGTGTTGTGAGAATTCCTTAGGAGACACTTGTAAAAAAGCAGAGGGAAAACAGTAAATACACATCTAATGATATGCTAAATAAATTATTATTGTTATTATTATGACTATTATTATAGCAATTGCAACTTGCTCCTGGCGTCCAAGTTTCCACTAGAGATGAGAATTGGTCCCCATACAGCTAGGCTTCTACTGCTGCCAATATACCCCCAGGCACTCCTCCACCTCAGGAATCAGTTGAATAATTGGACCATATAGACTAGCCTTCAGTTAACAGCCCTGGTTTTCTTCAGGAGAGCTGATCAGGAGCCCCCTGCAAAAAGCTAGCAAGGTCTTGCCAGGTAGGCACCTGCTCTAGGGTAGAGAGGAAAGGGGCTGTGCCAGGAATGCTGGGGTTACACCTAGGGATGGGCCTGCAGACCCAGACAAGTGTGGGAGGGGAGAAGTTGCAGAAGAGAAGGAAATTTTAAACTAGGAAGAGTTCTCAACCTAGAGATCCCGGCTTCTAGGACCCCATAGAAACCCAGCATGTGCATTTTGCTGGTGGGAATGACAAATTATTTTTGTCAGCTTCTCAAAGGGATCTGGAAGCCAGAAATAGCTAAGAGCCACTGCAGTCCAGGTAAAGAGACCCAGGACTCCCCATACCCAGTAAAAGTAGTTGGTATTTCTCGGTATCTGGGCTTTTGGCTGGGAGAGGAGTCCTTTTCTGAACCTCAGGGATTTGATGTTTACAGTGTCCCATCCACCCCCATCCTGGCCTGAGCCCAGACACCACCCCCTTAGACAAACACATGCAAATACAGCACCCCTCATCTCCCCTTAGTTCTCCCTCCCTTTTCCTGCAGGGAAAGCAAACCTTCCCTGAGGGTTCTAGGAACTGAAGGGGAGATAGAGATTCAGGCTGGGGCCCTAGAGAATGGGATTCCAGGGCTAAGGAGTCCTTCCTGACCACAGCCCTGCACTGAGACAGGGTAGGTGCCTCTCTGGAGCCTTAAGAAGAAAAGGAAAGTCCCAGGAAGCCCACCCCACTCTGAGCTTTGGTGGGAAAGGGCAAGACTGACCCTTCCCTGAAGACAAGGTCCCTCACTAGACAGGGGAACACCAAATCCCCCCATGGCTTCCTATTCACTGGTAGTGGCTCTCACACAGTACTTTTACAAGACTAAAGAGGAGGAGGATGACAGTAAAAATGAAAGAAAGAAAGAAAGAAAGAAAGAAAGAAAGAAAGAAAGAAAGAAAGAAAGAAAGAAAGAAAGAAAGAAAAAATCCAATTAAAGGACATTGTTATGTCAAAAAAATGTGATTTTTTTTTTTGATTTTTAAAAATGTTTTAATTTTTTTATTTTTGAGACAGGGCCTCCCTGTAGCCCCCAGCTGGCCTGGAACTCACTATGTAGACCAGGCTGGCCTCAAACTCACAGAGGCCAGCCTGCCTCTGCCTCCCAAGTGCTGGGATTAAAGGCATGTGCCACCACCATGCCTGGCAAATGTGAGCTTCTAAAGTGAAAATAATTTTATCTTATAACTATTAAATTAAAACTTTTTTAACATTAAGCTTGATCTATTCATATCTTTGAAGTAGGACTGAGATAGAAGGCCTTTCCTTCAGCTAGCCTCTCTCACGCTGATTTATTTTGCTTTATTTGTGTATTTCTTAATGGCTCAGTGATAGCTCCCCATTGGGCCTCTCAGGACAGGCAGTTCCATCTAAGCTTCCTAGTCTTGGATTTGGTTTTTGTACATTTGGGAATCTGGGAAGCCAGGAGACTGGAGATAGGGATAGAGGAGCACCAGAGAAACAGAGAGTGCCTTGGACACCCAATTTTCTGGCTCTGGGTGCCTCACCCCACATCCCTGCCTTGGGCTTCTCTTCCACTTGCTACTCACTGCCAGTCAGAGCCAGCAATGCTGCCTGAACCGTGTTATTACCAGCCTAGCTAAGCTGCCTCCAGCCCTGGTGCTGCTGTGCCAGCATGACCATAGTAGGGTGCTGAGCAATAGTCAGCTTTTGGGTGGATTGCATTCTGTGTACCTTAACCAGCATGAATTGGGCAAGAACTATGTGCCAGCAGCAAAGGGTGTCCAGAGTGTTTAACTCCAGCCCAGGGGTCTCCACTCCCCTCCCAGCATAATGGAAATTTTTGAGGCAGGGCTGGCTGCCCAGCCTGAGTTCAGGAAGGCTCCTTCACACAAAGCCTTCCAGAAGATGGCTGTGACTCCCAGGTTTTTTTAAAAAAAAATGAATCCGGGTGTGTGTATCTTTACCCTTTGGGTTAGCTGATGGCAGAGAATTGTGGCCTTGACTCAGTGGTGCCTAGAAGGGGGCTAGCAGGACAGCCCTGTCCATAGGAGTAGGAGAAGTAAGGTCTAGGGGCTTAGATCTATGTCCCTTACTTCAAATCAGATTCTCCCAACACAGGGCTATTAGGGAGCTGGAGGTCCCTCTGTTTCCAGAGAAGGAACCCCAATGCCGAGAATGACAGAGGATTGACCAAGCAGAATAGGCTGCCGAGGCCCAGGCTGGGGAACCGGGGTGCTTGGAGGGCTTCTCCCAGCACCTTCAGTGCAGGTCCAACACTGGGAAGTTCATCCCGCCAGTCCCAACCAGAGCCAGGGAGGCCCAAGAAAGGAGCCGGGACTCTGCTGTTCTCGCTTTGTTTCCGGAAAGCTGTAGGAAGGAAAGGGAAAGGGCACTTTTTATCCCTAACCAGGGCTTCCGGCACTTCCTCACTTCCCAAGACCACTCTGTGAGACCCAAAAAATTATTTAGAAGCTCTAGAGAAAGACTCTAAGAGGCCAGGCCGTGGCCAACTTTTAGTGCACACCCCCGCAGAATCTTGGGTGCTCTGGCTCCTCGGGTAGAGGGAGCCTGGGGTCAGGAGGTAGGATGCTCCCCTCCACAAACCCTAGGCCACACCTGTCAATGCCTGCCCCTTCCACTGGCTCTTGGTGGGTATTTACTACTTCCCTCTCTGTCAGTTGAACCAAGCCCCAGTCACCTTCCATGTCCTCCCCTCCAGAGCACTTCTAGGCTGTTGACCCTCTTGTAACTCCCATGTTCCCTCAGGAAAGAACTCTGCTTACTCCTTTCCTAGCTTCCCAGTCGGCCCTCGGCAGTTAACTCAGCAAGCAAGTCTCTCCAACCCCTACGCATAAATATGTCTGTTCAGAGATAGACTGGCCTAAGTCCCAATGCACACATATCACGAGATAATTACATCTTATATACATACAGATATCTCTATAGAGTTATATTCAAAAATGTCTATAATTCTAGACAAAGATAACAGCATGTACATATAGGACTATAATTACTTATGTCTATTTTTATAACTATGTGCTTATAAATAGATATGCCTATATATAGTGATAATAATACAGAAATATCTCCATAATCATATACAGCTCTAAGTGAATGCTCTAACCACTTTATATCACAATCAATAAGTATATATCTCTTGATACATAATTCTAACGATATACATTTATCTATATAGCTGCTCAGAGATATAAATCTGTCAGGATATCAAATGTCCATAAAGCTAGATGGCTATAAGAGAGTCGTATATTTTCCTGTATATAAATCTGCTTCTATAACTGTTGTATATGCACAAATACAATGGAAATAATTATATTTTCCTCAAGCATAAATCTGTAAATACAACCACAGCACATTTAGGTATGGTTAGAGATAGAGCAATATTTTGTAGACATCCGTCTGTCAATAGAGCCACCAGTGCCTCCAAACAGAGAGAGTTATAGAGGGAGTTATAAATAAACTCTCCAGATGTAAATGGATCCTCAGAACTAGATGTCAACAGGGCTCCAAGTTGTTCTTTCTTCTTTGTAAGCCGTTCCTGAAGAGAGCCACACCACACAGGGCAGGGGGCTAAGGTGCTGGGGTGGTGGTATTTCCTCCCCAATGGAGGGTTAGAGGTCGCTAGACTTTGGGCAGTCCAGCAGGAGTGGGTGGGGGGCAGTGGCAGCTCCCAAGCAGCCCAGAAGCCCCTAGGTCAGTCTCTTGGGCAGGTGGAAAGGCCTAAGAGAAAAAAATGAAAAAGCAAAAGCTGGCTTGCGACACTTCTCATCTCTTGGGCCCCAAACCCCTCTCACTAGGGAAGCCCTAACTGGCCTTGGAGTGGACAGAGTGAAGAGGGCCCAGGCTGGGGTTTGAGCAACCCCGGCTCCAGCCACTGAGCGACCCGCGCCCATCTCCCCGGCAGCCAGCGACTCAAGGCCGGTCCTCTCTGGGCACCCAGCGCTCAGCTTAGCGCTCAGCGCTTCGACCTGGTTTATTTAATTTTGTTTCATCGCCATCTTCTTGGGTTGGTCAGTGCTGGGTCCTCCTCCATCCGGTGTTGCTCAACTGCGAGGAAAGCGGGGAGGAATCTCTAGTCTTTGCGTGTGACTCAGTGGATAGCGCAACTCTCTGGCTCTTTTCAGACCCAATGGGTCACCAACTGTTGAAAAATAATCCAAACCTCTGGAAAGGCTTGTGACTTAAATCTTTCAGAAGTTCGCATGCTCGTTGCTTATACTCCCCCGCCCCCCATTTACAAAGTTCGCTAATGTGTATTGTATTTCCCCTCTTTGTTTTCTTCCCCCAGCACAATTGTTTTAAAAGGAGGGATTTCGTTAGACCCGAAACTGTGGGGCGGCTTCCTCTCCCGCGAACTTCGGATCGCTACACCTCTGACTCCCATCTCCCCCCTCAAATTAATGAATTAATAAAATTATCAGAAAAATGTACCTGGAGAAAGTGATTCCTGGACGCGGTTTTCACTTCCTTTATGGAAATCGCTTGGCTCCAAACTCGGGGAAGAAAAATTGAAGGCGCCTCAGCCCTCACTACTTTTTGAAAAGGCCAGAGGAAGAGAACTTTTCCGGGGCCTGCGAGCTCCCGCCCAACTCCGCCGCTCACCCCACTCCTCGGCGGCCATAAATATTTTTCTGCTCCCCTCCAGTCGGCAAAGCTTGACTTCCTCGGCACCTCTGCGTCCCTTCCCTTCGGCTGCACGCTGCAAGGAGTCTGTGGCCAAAGCCTCTTCTATCTCTGCTGCTCTGTCTGGCCCTGCACGTTTGGCCTCCTCTTTAAAGTAGGGGCTTCCAGGGAGTTCCCAAAGCCACTAACCACACATGTGTGTGGGGGTCCCCTTTCTGCTCTCACAAAGAAAGCCAAAGAAAAAGAGCAGTGAAGAGAGGCCTCCTGGCCCTTCCTCCCCTTCTCTAGCAAGAAGACCCTGTCTGAGAAGGGGATCCCAGCCTCGGTCCCCCCTTGTCTTCTCCTTAAGAGTCTGTGATGGGGGTTCCTTCCTTCATTGGTCCCCTCCGCCTCAAATCTCCTCTGGTCCTTGATTGTTTTCCTAATAGGGAGGGATTATTAATTACTGTTTTTATTATGTTATTTATTGTTATTACGAATGTTTGAAATTTGTTCACCGGGTTCAAGGGACCAAAGCCTGGGCCAAAGGGAAGCCTGCCTGTTTCACGTGAGGGGGCTCGCGCGCGCGCACACACACACACACAAGACACACACACACACCACTAACAGTGCACTCACGGATGTGATCACAAATGTCTACTACCTTAGGGCCCCTGCCCAACAATTCAAAGGCGCAGGCTTCCTCCTACCCCAAAGCAAACAACACTGCCCACGCACACAGCTTCCAGGCAGAACACCACCCCCAGACCGAAGCCCAAACCCACACGCACCGAGCTTGCAAGGCAAGGGAAATACGTAAGAATCCCTTCTCTCCCACAATCTGGAGGGGCGAGTCAGGCCTCAGTCTCTTTCCCCCAGTCTCTCCCGCTTTCTCTTTTTTTTCTCCTTGTTTACAGCTTCAGAGAGCTCAAGGCCCATAAATCTTGAGGGGCCTACCGAGCGCAGAGCACATTTGTATGCATCGTTAGGACTCGCTAATACCTAAGCCCATTAACGAGCGTGTATGCGCGTGGTTTCCGGTGTGTATTAACTTATAGTTAAATTCTGGAGGAAAGGGCATTGTGAATTAACATATACCAAATCCATCACGAGTTTTTGTCATATCAGGTTAGTCAGCCAGGGATTTGGGGGAGCAAATTGCCTGGGTCAGGGTGTACCCACCCTCCAAACTTTGTGCAGCGAATCTGGAGTCTGGGAGAGGAGGTCGGTGGTTCAGGTCCCCAGACCAAGCGCCAGCACACCTGGGGAGGATGGAGAGTCCCATCCGGGTCCCGGGGGTCCGAGGCGGGCACCGGGATTCCGGAGGGCGAGGGAGGCGGGTCTGGCTCAGGCTGGGGCTGTGCTGGGGCCGCTCCGCCCCGGGTCGCCAAGCGTCCGGTTTCCGCTCAGAAAGAAATTCGAGAGTCGCTGAACTTTAAACCAAAAGAGAGGACGGTGGAAAGAGGGAAGAAAACGTTCGGAAGAGGAAGAGGAGGCCCCGGGGCCGAGGAAAGGAAGGGAGCCCCAGCCCTGCAGAGCCTGGAGATTTCTCTTGGGTTGTCCCGCTATTTTTCTTCCCACCCCAGCTACTCCGCCCAGTCAGGCGGCTAATCGCAGCCCTCTTAAAAATAAATAAAATAAATAGATGAGTAACAAGAAAGAAAATGCAAAGCAAAAAGAAAATCTAATTGCATGGCGTGATTCTACCAGGTGTTCCTAGTTCCAGTGACTCAGACAGTTTTGGAATCCCAAGGATCTGGATAATTGCGCCTGCATAGACAGAGATGGAGGACGCCAGTTCTAGAGGGAGGACCGGCGGAGGAACGGCCATCTCTTGGGGTCCTGTAGAAAATGCCAAAGACAAAACAAGCTAAATTATTGTGTCCGCGTGGATCTATTTGCCTATTTAAATGCTGCAGAGCCGGCGGGGGAGAGGGATGCGCGGCCCAGGCGCAGCGGGCTGGAGGGGGCGGGTGGGGGGCGCTGAGCCGGAGCAGTGGTGGGGCCTGCAGCGGCGCGGGCTAGCGGGCCGGGCCGGACCGGGCCCGGTTGGGGAGGCGAGCGGACCGGGCCCTCCCCCGGCGCTGTGAACTTTAGCTGGGCCGCCGCCTGTCAGCCCCAGAAAGCGTTAAAGGTGCAGCAGCCCGCGCCAGCCTCCGCAGCCGCCTTTGTACGCGTGATTTATGACTTCAATCTTGGTTCACCGAGAGTTCACACGGCTTTCGCTGCTGTTGAAGGTTAAAAGATGGTCTTCGCTTGACAAGTGGGACTATTGAAAATTCCTTCTTCTTCGTTTTTTTTTTTTTTTTTTTTTTTTTTAAAGAAGCGAAGAGCTGAGGATCAGGAGAGGAAAAAAAATTTGGCGGGGGGGGGGACAGAGGCTGCAGGTGGGGCGAAATGCCAAGTGATAGGTCAGGAAGGTTTCGATTTCTTTTTAAAGTCAAGATTTGAGTGTGCGTTGGTGAGGTGGATGGAGGGTGTAGTGAATAGGAGGAGCCAGGAAAAAGTTTAAAGATCTCTCTTAAGAGACCAAAGGAGTGGTATCTGGGGCCGAGGTTACTTCGTGTTTCCACAGTAAATTATTGAATAGCTTGGGTTACCGTCCCTATGCAGCAGTCTCTTGAAAGAAAAGCCCCACAGGGAAAGAGAAGGCTAATAGGGGCTGCATGTTGCCCCAAGGTGGATGCCTGCCAGGGTGCTTGGCTGACCATCTTTCCTGGGAAGCTAGGTGTCAAATGTCCTCTTTACCCACAGATGTGGGCAAAGGTGTTTCTGGGTCCCTTGTTCCAATTGCCTGTAGGCTCAGTCTGATATGTGTATTTAATATACATGCAAGAGAACCAAGGCTTCACCAGGGAGCCCCAGGGGAAGGCAAGAGCATTAGGAGTTCAGGACCAGCCCAGGCTACATGAGACCCAGACCCAAAAAATAAAGATAATTTTAATCTCCTGGCATGGGAATTTGAGATTATAGTGTATATTTAAAACTTTCTGGGGGATTGGAACTGGAAATCAACATAAACACACACACACACACACACACACACACGCAGACAAACAAACAACAACAAAAAACCCCCCAAAAAACCAGACTGCTGTCTTGTATGTCCCAGGTTGGCCTCGAACTCTTAATGCAGCCAAGGATGACTTTGAACTTCCAAACCTCCTACCTGCTAGGTTTACAGGTGTGTGCTACCACACTCAGCTTATATGGTACTAGGACCAACTTCAGGGTTTCATGTATGCTAGGCAAGCACTCTTATCAACTGAGCTATATCCCCAGCCCTGGAAATCCTTTCTAATCCCAGACCCTCTTGGTCCATGATCGAGTCCTGCTTCCTTTGAGTGCTTTCAGTGGAGCCACAGTAGCCACAGTGGCCTCGATCTCCAGATGACCAGAAGACCCCTTTGGACTACTGCATTTGGGATTTGGATGCACAATAATTCCTCCTCCTTTTCAGATTCTTGGAGAGAGAAAATCCTCTGGATCTGTGAGGGCCTCCTGGCTCTTTGACTTTTTTTTTTACATTTTTATTTATCTTGTGCATATGCATGTGGAGGTCAGAGGATAGATTTGGTTCTCTCCTTCTACCATGTGGGTTCTGAAGCTTGAACTCAGGTTGTTGAGATTAGAGGAAAGTACTCTTTTCTGCTGAGCCATCCCACTGGCCCCCACTTTGAGGTTCTTTAAGATATTTCAAAAAATGTTTTATTATTTTTATTTTTTGTGTGTATGAGTGTATTACCTGCATGTATGTAAGTTCACCTGTGTCATGCAATGCCCATGGAGGACAAAAGAAAGCATTGAATTCTTGCGGAACTAGAGTTACACATGGTTGTTAGCTGCCATGTGGGTGCTAGGAATTGAACTCAGGTCCTCTTCAAGAGCAGCCAGTGCCCTTAACCGCTGAGCCATGTCCCCAACCCTCTTTAATATATTTTTAATGCTGAGTGTGATGGCACAACCTTTAGTCCTAGCACTTGAGAGATAGAGGTAGAAGCTGGAGGGCTTATTCAAGACCAGCCTGGGTAACCAAGTGAGACCTGTAGAGAAAGGTGGGGGAGGCAGGGGTGAGGGAGGGGGAAGGGAGGAGGAGGGGAGGGAGAGGAAGGGAATTGAAATCCATTGGTATGGGGATTTGGGAGGCAGCAGTGGAGAGCAGAGTTTGGTGCTGCATGTCTCACTATTCCCTACATAAGCCCCACCTCCACCTGTGCTGCTACTTGGGGGAGAATCCAGGCCTCATGCATTCTAGGCAAACACTGTATCACCCAGCCACACCCCATAACCCTGTAGATATCTTCACAGGAGACTAGAAACAGCCCCTTAAATGCAGATGCAGGGAGCCAAGGCCTCCATATCAGAAGGGACCTACACAGTATCTCTTCCTGCACTGAGATGAGAGCCTTCCACCTTAAGAAGAGGGCTTCTCACTGGCAAGCCCCAAGAGAAGGGAGAGGGAGACAGAGATGAGCCAGGAGAATGGCCACATCTCTCTGGGCACTGGCTTCTCCTGTAGGGACCCCATATATGCAGAGCAAAGCAAGGGCCATAGAGCAGGCAATGAGATACTGGAAATCTAGAGTGTGGACTCTGGGGTCACTTGGAGGAATGGGCCTTTGGCCTCAGAAAAGCTGCATGCATGGTATTGTGTATAGAAGCTTGGAGGTGGGTAGCCAGTAGGAGGAAGGGCCAAGAAAACTCATGAATCTCTACCAGGTTCTGGTTGGGAAGCATAGGATGAACTTAATCGCTTCTAGAAGTAATGGCCACTCTGAAGACCCCTTCTTACCACCTCTGACTGTTCTAACCTAGGACATAATTTCAGTGGGCTATGCCTATCTACAAATCTGAAGTAATTATGAATTATTAATTCATAATTAAGAGTGTTGATTGTGACCAGAGCTCTCTAGTGGACCTCTTTATTTCCTTCTCTTATGTAAGACAGAAGGCAGTCTCTGTTAGCCCTTGCCCTCTGTAACAAGCAAGCTGAAGCCTAGCTACTCTTGAAGGCAGCTCTTGAATTTGGTCATTTGTGGAATGGCTGCCCCATTACTAAGCCAAGTTATGTCTCAGCCCATCGAGTGTTTATGCTTGGTACATCCTCTAACTTCAGATTTCAGCAAAAGCAGGGATTGGCAGAGTGAATCCAACAGAATCAAGTTGGTCAAGTTCTGTGGGGGTCCAGAATGAAGGCTGGCTGGCAGATCTCTAGGGGCCAAGCAGTCTGGAACAGAGTGGCCATTGTGCCCCCTCCCCCTGGAGATTCTGGTCTCCTCAGCCCTCTAGAACCTCTGAATACACACCTAGGCCTTTTTCTGACCTCCCTTTCCCACTGTCTCCCCCTGATCGTGCCACTTAAGGGTAGAGGTGGGAAGAACATCTACCAGCTTCACAATTGAGAAAAGCTAGAGAGGAAGAAATTGTCCTCTTCCATGAGATAATTTTCATCTAAGTTCCTGCCTTCAGCTCACCTCTACCAGCATGAAAGTTTCATTCATCTTTTTCCCTTTTCTCTCTGGAACTGTAGGCAGGGAGGAAAGGCAGCTCCCAATAACCACACCCAGAGAAAGAGACAGAAACAGGAAATGAGCAGGTGGCTTAAACTTGTTCTCCCATTCTTTAAACCCGGATGGGCACCCTGAGCTCAGGACCAGGAGAAACCCTCCCTGAGGGTTCCCCAATTCTTTGTTCTCTGCCACACACAGGAGCCTTTCCTACATGCCTGAGACCAGGACTGCTTCAAAACCTTTGCTCTAAGAGCAGGATGCTTTCCAAAGGGCACTTGGAGAAACCCCATACATCTCTCAGGGACTCTGGTCAGTGAGAAGCTAGTGGCCTAGCCAGTACAGCCCACTTTTTCCCATCAGTGGGATGACCGATAGAGCTACCCCAGCCTCTATCCCAAAACTCACATGCTCTTCCCCTGAGCTACCCCAGTATCCCTTGGTACACACACACACACACACACACACACACACACACACACACCCACACACACACACACACACACACACACACACACACACACCTCTGCTCTAAGCCAAGAGACAGGTAGGAAACCCATTCAGAGGGGCCTTAGAGCTTGCTAGTATATTTTAATGTACTGTTTGATGGGAAATAAAAAGACCTGGGAGAAAAAGGAAAGGCATATCTGTGCCCAGCATCCTCTGCATCGCCAGTCTTCCGGACATTGGCTTTCCCGATGAAACAGTGCACCGTTGTTCCTGGACAACCATTCCCCACCATCTCTGTCCGAAGGGGTTGAGTTTCACCCTCCATTCACCCCCATTAATCACCCCAGCGGCAAAACATCACCCAGCCCCCTCTAGCCCTTTCTCTTCTTCTTGCCCTTAGTATTCATGGCGGGCATTCCTCACCGCTGCCTGCCTCACAAAGACTCCTCCTCCGACACAAGGTCCCTCCCCCTCTCCGTCTACCCAGTCCACTGTGGACATTGCTCACTGCTTAGGGCTTCTGGCTACCAGGTCTTGAACCCCTTTGGCCCAACTTTCTTCACAGCCATTACTGTGTTACCACGAGCACTCCCGTTCATCACGTCCTCCTTCTGGTTCCACATCCCACACACCCTCCTCTTTCGTCTTCCCACTCCTCAGCATTCCTTTACTCCACCCCCTTTGCAGCCCCCCAGTCCAATCCTTTCTGCACTTCTCCCTGCTTTCCCTCTCCCACGTCTTTTTTGGGGTCTTTCGGATAGTGCCTTTGAAGCCCTTTCCTCTCAGCCTTGGGAACTTA